GGGTCCACAAAATCAGTGTCCCATTCATTGTCCATGGAGCAGCTCACATTATACTGTATTACATCACAAGTTAGAGACATACCTTTCTTGTTTCTGGCTTTGAGGGCGACTAGCTCCTGTTCACAAATATTGATTGAACTTTTCTGGGCCAGAGAAATAATATAATGGAATTCTTAATTGAAGTGTTCCCCTTTAAATTCTTTTTTCTTAATGATATTTCAGACAGTGGCAATTGCAAGCACAGGAAGTAGCATGTAGAAATACTATTGGGAATTTTGTCCAGCTTTGTAAGACTCAAAAATAAGCTTGGTGACCATAAAACACAAAGTAAAATCAAATAAAAAAGTTGTTTAATATTAAACAGATGAGCTTTTACTTGCCCTGTGGGTAAACAAACAGTCCTATAACTGAATGATTCAGCATCAAGCAAGCATGCAGCCTGATGTAGTGCTCTTGAGCATGACACAGATACACCTGTTTCATGGCAATAATTGATACAAACTTATAAAGAGAGTATTTTAAAACAAAGAACATAATGATGGTAAGAAGAGTACTGACAAAAAACGAGGCTCAGTGAAGACCACACAGATTTTCATACCAACAGAATATTTTTATAGACGTACATGTGTCTGTCCGTCAGGCTTAAAGTTAAATGACAAAAAGTAGGTCCTCTACTTATAACATGATATTGTACCAGTGCCTCATTTCTAGTTCTAATACTGTAGGTCTCATCATAACACTTGGACCTGGAAATTTGAATTACTAAATAATAAAACTCCAACAACACCCTCCACAGCTCATTTCGACACCAAACTCGCGAACCAGTCATATAGGTTAAAACCTGCAAAGAGAAAAAAACAGAGAAAGAGAGCAGTCAGGAAACAATGTTGTTTTAAGTTGTGTCTGAGTCCACGTAATGTGTCCTCACCTATTTTCTCTGATAACTTAAGATCCAGACATTTAGGAGGTTTTTACAGGGAGCTAAATTATCTGCAGAAGTCTCTTCCTCTCCAAACGGAGATTTAAAATGGTAAAAACATTGAATAAAGCAGTTTCACATTAAAAAAAGTGTTTTTCTGATGCTGTTGGTCACGGAGAGGCTGCTAACTGCGGTGGCCAACACAAAAATGCTATTGGAGCTATCTAGGGTCAGTGTTTGGTTTAAATTAAATGTATGGTTTACTATATGTCAATTCCCGCCCTTTGCCTCACATAGAGTTCCAAGTTTATCCTCAAGAAATTGTTGTGAACAGCCATCAAAACTGGGACTTCACACTGACACGTGGTTTTGTGAATATTAGTGTCATTAGGGATAAAAAAAAAATAGCCTACCTGCAGCCTTGTCGACAACTCTGAGGACAACCTCTCCGGTCCTGCCGTAAACATCAGGTAAGTTGAGCACCTTGCAGATGTAGGTACCATTAAAGGTTTGAGACACCTGCTGCAGGGTGATGGAGGCGTCCTTTTTCATAACATCCCCCGACCACACTACACGGCGTCTAAAATGCCCTTCAGTTGGAAGGTACGGCTTGTGATGGTAGTAGAATATCTTAAACACACACACATAATCCACAGTCTCATTTGCACATAATATACTGCAGAGTTGAACAATAATTAACACTGAAACACAACATCATCATAAAATATCCAGTGCTACACACCATCTCCTCAGGTCTAGGATGCAGGGGTTGGAAGTACCAGGCCACTGATACGGACGTAAGTGACACAGGATAATTGGAGCTGAACCTGCACTTCAGTTCCACATCCGTCCCGTTGACTGCTTCCACCTCACCTGCAGTGTAAATTTGAATCCCACTGACCTGTCGCACCCCTGCAGATATAAAAACTGTGTTACGGAACACCAATGAATATAGGCTTATACAAAATATATGTACACATGTATGTTTATATGCATATATATGTATATATATATATATATATATATATATATATGTGATGTGTATATGTGTAATTTTTTTTAAACATTCTATCTTTATATTTTTATACTTGTATGTGTGATATGTATGTATTTCTTATCTTTATCTTTTTATATTAGTCAGTGTATGATGGCACCTTGGGGCTGGGAGAAAGCGCAATTTCATCCCGATGTTCTCTGTATGTGGAAATGACAATAAGGTTGAACATGACTCGACTTGACTTGAATATACACAGACCTACAGTGACGAGCACAACTCACATTTCATACCTCCCTCTGAGGGGTTGGCCCAGCAGTTTTGTAGGAAGTCAATATACAGACAAGAAACCATGTTGCCATCAAACAACTTGTGTCTTCTTACTTACAGTGATTAATAAACTTGTCTAAATATACACAGTGAGTCCTTAACATGTGTCATCACCTGTAAATCATGTCTTTAACTGTTCTTTAACTGTTCAGATTGACTGTATACCACCAGGGGATGATGGTGATCTATATGAATCAAAATCAGCATGGGAGTTTTTTGTTGCCCGCATTTTGGCCAGTGGTCTCCTATTGTCACTGGTTAATGATTGTACAGGTGTGTAGAGGGTCAAATGAACATGTCTTTGCCAAACAACAAAGATCAGCCTGGGTCCATTTTTTATTTGCACAGCTATGTGTAACATAACATTTCTGCATTTAAAGCTTTAAGTGGTCGGTTACTAACTGTGCCAAACTAACACTTGTGTGGCAGACAACTTGTTTAGATTTAGAGGCAAAACTTCTATCAAGTGCCTTCTCAGGCATTAGTAAAAAGCTTCTGTCCACTTGGTTAGGTTTGAGTGAAAAGAAGTAACACCAGTGGAAGATTCACAAGAAAAGTTAAACACTGTGTTTCAAATATTGTAAACTGCCAAAGCTCAAAAGACTTAAACAAAGAGCTGCATTCAAATTCAAATGTCATTTGTCACACACTTGTACATTTAGCAGTGAAATACTTTGTTTCTGTCTCCAGTAGACACAAAATTAAAAGAAAGCAAAAGAGAAAATATGTATGTGCAATTTAGAATAATAGATTCTCATGCTGTATGTACTGAGCAAGTCTAAACAAGAAAAGCAAATCTTTCTATAACATACATTGAACTCATATACTTCTTGCTGTCATGCACTGGTTCTGTGTCTATACAATATCCCAGAGTATTAATGTTTACCTGTTATTGCATTCAGGGAAGATGTTTGTTGTGGAAGCTCACCTGACAGCAAGAATCCTCCCAGGAGAACAAAAAGCAGAGTCATCTGGTGCATAGTATTAAACATGCTGCCTTAAAGTAACTTCATTGAAAGTACACTGAAAAGTCCCAATAGCTCTTCAGTGCAGACTGGGGGAACTAAACATTGGTTGTGAAAATTTGTGTTGCTGTTCCTGCTGGGCGGAGCAACGTTAAGCCTGTGAGAACACTTCTTCATTGTTGTACTGTGCTTTCCAGGGCCTGTCTGCACATGTATCATAGGAAAACTGCTGGGACTGTTGTGGCAGTTATTGTTATCATCTCATGATGTACTACGTATGTGCTGCTCACATTGAAAAAATGTCCTCATGGACTTGCACAGCACAGATGATGATCAGGTAATGCAAGACTTATTCTGGGGTACCTGTTTATATTTTTTTTTTTAAATGTCACAGCAACATTAGATGTTACAGGATTTAGGCATTGTATACAAATATTAACAAAAGGTAAACACCAGTCAAAAAAAACAAAACAGGAAAAGACACTTCAAAAAGAAGTTAATTAAAAACCAAAACATATATTTTACAGCCTGTTTCAAATCTGAACTTTCTTAAAGAGCATTTTAAATATATGATATTACATACTTTGTAAAACAAATTTCTATTACGAGACACATGAGTCTATGAGACACAACACACATCAGCCCTAGAGACGGGTGGATTGTGAAGATTTCCAGAGCCTCTTGTTTTAGCATCAGAATGCATCTCAATCACATATCTGCAGAAGGGTGTCAGGGTTCGTTATGTTTATAACAACATCATATTAGGGGGGGTGGACATTTTTGTCACCTTTGAATATTGGAGGGGATGTGTCCTTCCCCATTATATTTACTGCTTTGCATCAAATATGCATGAACAGGCAAGAAAAAGCTTCCCAGGCATGACAAACAAAACACAGCATGACTTTATTACAAGTTATTAAACAGGTGTTATTATGCTTACTCCACTTAATGTGTATGATTAAAGGGGGCTGCTTGCATCAGACAATATGTTACCAGCCACAGAAGCTTACCTTAAAAGTGAAAAACACTGTGAAGTGATACAGCTCAAGTAGTTACAGATGTTTAGTAATTTTACTAAATTACTATGGGGTTTGTTTTTTCTCGCGGTTGGTTGGTCCACTGTGGCAGAATGAGGAACTCACCAGTCTGGGTGGAGTCTTTCATGACATGTAGATCTGGTTGTTCTGGTTTTGGTTCAGAATTACTGACAACTGCTGTAATACACAATAACATTTGATCCGTAATTTAGGGGTATTGATAAAAAGATAACCTCATAAAAAATTATTTTGGTTGTATTATGAACAGTACATTATACCCTACAGATGTCAACAGCTATAAAATAGGAAATTTATATTTCCCGTGTTCTGTACAGTACCGGAATGCAGCATTTGATCTAACGTGACCATGATGCATTGCGATCAGCTGACACAGAGGACATGAACTGAATGAAGATGGGCCACGAGTGGAAGAGAGACATCATAGTGTCATGGAGCAAAGATGTCGGCAGTGCTGTATGGTTTCTAAACTAAAAGATACTCTCCCTCTCAGAGGTATTTTCACGCATAGCTGATGTCTGACACCCACTGAAATTATCCCAAATAACTGAGGATAATTTCATTGTTCGGGAACCCGAAGTAAAACGTTTTAGGGTGTAAAGATATTCTTTTATTGCATTTTCAAAGCAACGACCCACCCATGATTCATTGCGGGACCAGCCTTAAGAGTTATTTTTGCCCTAATGTTGACTTCCAAGGGAAAAAGCACCCAGCAAGCTGCAGGTCAGCTTCAACAGCCTCCACATATTACAGAAGGTAACGGTGTTTTGTTTTATGCTACAGACGGTTAACTCATGGCCCCAAGGCGAGTCTTAGTATGGGAATGTTTGCAACCAGTAACGAATGACTGCCCGACAGGCAAATCTCAGGGTAAAATTCCCGTGATGTCCGTACCTCACTGCAGTCAGTGCAAAGACTGTATTAGTGCTGCAGTGCCCTTCTATGGCGTTACAGCTAATGGTAGCAGTTTGGCACTCTCCCCGTCAAAGACTCTCTCTGTAGTTTGCCTTCTTGACACACCTTTTGTTGTCTCGTCTAGCTCGAGTCTCAGGCGGCTAACGACTGCTAACGAGCATCATCCTCCCGGACTACCCGCCAGCGCTGAAGCCAAGCTGGGGCTTAGGAGTGACACTGCAGCCGAGCTAGCCGAGAAGTGACAGCGGATTCCCTGCCAGGTAGTTTGTCTTGTAAATGAAGAACAAAAAAAATCTGTACATTTTTATATTAACGACGGGCGTGTCAAGATGCAGCCACAGCAGTCTCCAGTCCAGTCATTAGCAAGCTAGCTAGCTAGCTAACAAGCTAACGTCAGATAAACAGCGGGTATAATGCGATCTGCTCTGTGATCCATAAGCAGCCGCCTAGAAAACGAGAGTAGCCCATATCCGTATTAGGCCGGCCTGTCTGCTGCTGACACGTTAAGCTGCTGTGTCAGCTATGGTTTCTGATAGCTGGTGCTGATGCTTTCCTCTTTGTAAGGTACCACCTACCCGAAACAACATCAATATCAGCTTTAATGGAAAAGTAACTGTGTGCATATACAAGGAATTTCATGTTTTTTGTTACTTGTAGTGGACGTGCACAGAAATAGACATACATGTAGAAAACAAGGATAACAAACCTGAACAGGGTAAACGTATGCTTTTGCAGAATATACAGTGTGTTCATATTCATATTAACAGTAATGATATTTACATGTTCAAAAACACTGTTAAACTAAAGAGTAGCAAGGTATAGTGAAGTACAAAGGATGTTTGGTGTTACAGGGTTATTGACACTGTATGACTGATGTTAACTGGTCATCAGAGGCCTGTGAGAAAGACACTGTTATTGCGCCTGGTTGTTTTGGTAAACAGTGATCTGTTGCCTACCAGAGGGGAAGTTTGAACAGGTTGTGTCCAGGCTGTGATGGTCTGAAGTGATGCTTCCTGCCCATTCCCTGACTCTAGAGATGGATACGTTCTGAGTGAAGAGCAGGCTGGCACCAATGTTTTTTTTTTCTGCAGTCCTGACTGTCTCTTGTAGTGAACATGAAGCATTCCTCTGTTCGTACGAATCGTAATACCTCTGTACAGCTATATATTCTTTCTTTATCTGTCAATAAGTGGTGATGTTTCCCGTAGGATGAGTGGTGATGAGTTGAACCCTGCTGCAGTGGCTAAGCCAGTAGAAGATGTGCAAGGAGATGGACGGTGGATGTCACAGGTGGGTGATTTTGATTATTAGTAGGGTTGGGAATCTCTCTGTGATAGACGATTCGATACGTATCTCGATACACGGGTTACGATACGATTCAAAAACGATATATTTTTAATACAGAACATTCGATACGATTCGATACGGTGTAGGAACGTTATGATTCGATACGATTCGATACGATTCTATGGTTAACATTTGTTGATGTAGACATTAATCATATATTATAAAATAAAGTTCTATAAAAGTGACATTCTTATAGAATTTTCAAATTTGTAAAAGACCACATCCCCAAGCATTGTTGCTGTATGGCACTGGCAAAAATAAAATAAAAAGACAAACAACAACAAAATCACACATTGTCTGTGTTTTTGTATGTATCTTATATGGACTTGAGTCTGGAATAAAGTTTATCATAACGCTGTACAATATAAACATAAAGCAGAATAAAGTAATAACATGCAATGTAGGGTCAGAATCAGACATCTCCTGTTATTAGTTGATATCATGGACTGTGATGACTAGCAGCTTATCACTGACAGCATGTCAGACTATTTCTCTGTGTTTGCTACACTCTGTTTGTCATTTATAAAAAGATAAATCACTTTTCTATAATACATCAATGATATTTCAGTGGAATAAATTACTTATTGACTTATTCATACTTCAAAAACAGCATCAATAAGTGATTAACATAGGGGGGATCAAAATAAAATAAATAAATAAAATAAAAATCAACCAGCCACCCTCCTCCCCTGACAAGTAAAGAACAGTCCCTAAAGTGCGGTGAGGTTTGTGGAAATGTGTTTCTCCTCTGACACGTCACATACCTGTGTGCTGGTGCTGCCACAGCTCGGCTGTTGAGGTATTTTTGGGCAGTCATGACACCGACGAAGACACCTTGGACCTGGAGCCGGGCTTCTCGGTCGCCGCCGCAGAGCACTATGGCCGCCATATTTGACAGGAATACGTATTTCTGTCTGTGTTTGTGACCCCGCGTTCAACCCACAACCGGCAGGATTCGCCTTTAGTTTCTGCTGCGGCTTGGCTGCTCCCTGGTTTATCCATCCAGCATTAGCTTCTGTTCCTCATCTCCACCGGTCAAGCTGGCGCTGATGTTTACATCCATTATCGTTGTCAGTAATGCCTGCTACGGAGCATGCTGCCGGCTCTCGCGTTGTTTTCGAGATGCAAACTGTTAAAGTCAGTCAACCGATTGCTAGTCTCGCAATACCCAATCCATGACTCTACAATCGATTCATCTAAGGATTCATGGCTGATTCATATCGATTGAGGAGGCTGCTACCGACGCAGCCGTATCTCTCGCTTGTCAAACCGGATATCGGTATCGGTTAATCGTTCCCAGCCCTAATTATTAGCATAGGAAACATTCACCCTTTATCCCCATGTATTATATAAAAAATACTAAATTTGTTCCTTATGTGTAATTCATTTTACCACCTAGAAGACTTACATTATTTCTCAAAATGTTTGTCTTATTCTTGGGCTCATCAATGCTTTTCGGAGACATTACCTATCATTTGGTTGTCATACTCTTAATTGAGCTTGCTTTATGTTAGGAGTCTCTTTAAATTAACTAAAAATTAACGGTTGACAAAATGCCACAGTTTCTGACTTACTTTTCCCATTCCAATATCATACATAATGTATATACTAACATAGGATCATATAGGTTATGTTTTTCATGTATATGAATGCTCAAGTTATTGACATGTACCACATGGTCGTGATATGACTCATAAAATCATATGCTCATAAACTATAACCGTTCCCAAGTCTTCTCTCAGAGCTCCACTTTATCAAGCTTGTTTAGTGGCACCTCCTGGTAGGTCTATGCAAGGTTAATCCTACAAAGCTAATAGGACTGAGACAGTCTGCTTTGCTGAGCTCTCTGTCAGATGGGGGACCAGACGTGTCGTGTGGCGTGATGAGCTTGCAGGATTTTGTCTGATTGCGAAGGCTAATGAGTATTATCCTAAGATTTAGAAAACTCATAACACAAAGGCGTTAACTAACTGAAATCCTAATGTGCAACTGATTCAGTTATTTTGTTTTCTTTGAATTAATGTAATTCTTTTTCATTTATCCATCCTGTCTTTTACAGTTATGGATCATGTGACATGCTCTGCTGTGATGAGGCTGTGTTTTTTATTTCTTATCCTTTTTTACAGCATACAAGATTTGTGCAGGAGTGTAAGGATGCTGAACCAGACGTGCTTTTTGTGGGGGACTCTATGGTACAACTAATGCAGCAGTATGAGGTGAGAAAAGATTTGCCTGCTCACAGGGCACTACCATCCTCTTGTGTTTTCTAAATCTCAATATTTTCCACACAGTACAGAAGATAGCACATCATAAATGTACTGTGCTGTAGTCATGTTTTTGTTGACTTGCTACTAGTCTTATATTGGTATGTGTGTTGATGTAATGCCTGTTTCTGGTTTCCTGTGCACAGGTCTGGAGGGAGTTATTCTCTCCTCTTCATGCGCTCAACTTTGGCATTGGTGGGGACACCACCTGTAATGTTCTGTGGAGGTTGCAGAATGGAGAGCTGGAGAACATCCGTCCAAAGGTGAAACAAGCCTGTCGAGATCTTCAGAGAGACACTTCAGGGCAAAATTATTTTAATGACCTCTCACTTACACACACTTACAAATCAGGTGCAGAACAAACTCACTGCATATACATTTTACTTATGTGCAGTGCTTTGTGCAGAACAACTTTGTGACCCCAGCAGGATAGCTGGGTTGATTTCCGGTTTTGTCAGTGTGTTATGACAGTGTACGAGCTAAAAGTGGTTGGACTTTATGCAAACCAGCTGAACCGGTATTTGTCATTATGACACGTGGCAAATAAAACAGTAGTCTACATCAGCAACCTGTGTTGAGGGTGTCACAGTGCTAAATCCAACTTGTATTAAATCAGTGATAAGCAAAATGACAATGTGATTAACATAACGTTAGGTTTGTTCATAAATGGACTGATGGAGCCACTAGTGCCTGACAGGCCGTGGCCGGGCACAGAGTGGTGCACATTGTGTTTGTTGACTAGAAAGTTCAGGTGTTTTTTGGGGTGATGAGACATGGCAGAGTTAATCTCTCAAAAAAACTAAAACTGCGCTCATTTAAGAACATCTTGGATTTGAAGCTGAAGAGGTGTCCTACCTGGCTGCGAGCAACACAGTGCGACATTTTGAGCTGAACATGTCAAGACACCCTGTTTCTATTTATTCCCACTGTTCACTTTTGAAGCACCACAGTGGATGAGAAACAGCTGATTCATGAAGTTGAAATGAGAAATTATCAGTACAGCACCTCCTTATTTCACAACAAAAACCAAAATGAGTTGGCAGCTGGCTGGAGGGGGATCACTAGGGAGCTGAATGTTTATGGTAAATTATCATTGCTAAAACCACAAGCTTTCTTTTGGCTTTATTTTATGCCATTTCCAGTAAATATCGCAATATAAAAAGTGCTTTCTGTTTTAAAAGTACCAACGTAGGAATATAGTAAGTGGTTACATCTCCTAACTAATCTGGAGCGCACAGCTGATAGGTAGGCTATGTGGTATATGACGTAATGGAAGTACATATTTAATGCATTTATCGGGTGTTGACAAAGAACATTTGCTGATGGGACACGGTATCATTTTGTTCCACTCGTGAGCAGCTGCTGAGTGTCCGACAGGGCAACACCTTGTGGTACAGTTCGGAATACCGGTCCAGTCTGATCAGACATCGGTTGGCTTGATATCAAACCGGTTTGAAAATGTTTACATGTGCCCAACCCTATTAAGTAGCTATGTTGTTAAGTTGCTTTGTGCATTTGGAAAACCTTGCAGCAACAACAGTCTGCACCACCCTAACTGTCCTTATTGACTGTGTTAACGATAAAGAGATTGGGAACAGTTTGCATCGCTTTCACATAAATCAGATATTAACCCATGAGAATTCTTTCTCTCAAAACAGCCAACAGGATTTTGAGTAGTTATTGCTGTGTATCATGCTTTGATCACCCTTATTGAGATTAAAATGTGTTCAGTAAATGTAACACAGCATCTGTCTGTGGTCTTGTCTAGGTGGTGGTGTTGTGGGTTGGAACCAACAATCATGAACACACAGCAGAGCAAGTTGCAGGAGGAGTTCTTGCTATAGCGCAGCTGCTCACCTCCCGCCTCCCCAAGGCAAAGATAGTTGTACTGGTAAGTAGTTGTGCTTTGTCTTATATTGCACCCAGTTTGTTTTTAAGGTGTGTTGTGCATTTAGTTTTCTTGTGGTCTCTTTACAAAGTCATTTTTACATTTGTATATGTTAGGATTGGTTAAGAACCTTTTAAGGTGATAATGTAGAAAAAAACATCAATATCAGTATATCATACTTTGATGTGCAACCCATTTGATGTTGGTAATCACCACAAGTCGCCAGTTTTCAAATGTGTTATTTCATCTCTCCGTTAAGGGAAATGCAGGTTCCAAGACAAATAGGCAAGTTAAAGATTAAACAAACTGTCTTTCTATCTGTGTAATTAATTTAAGATTCAGAGGTTTTATTTTTCACATGGTTATTGAATATGTGCAGTAAGCGCAGGGTGGCATACTGTTAAGGCTGTGCCAAAGGCTAATGCACAGGAAAGAATGATATTTAGAACAAGAGAACAAATGAAAATAAGGAAATAAAATGGAAAAAATATATATTTTTCCTCTTACCTGTAGTGCTATTTATCAATCTAGATTGTTTTGGTGTGAGTTGCCGAGTGTTAGAGATATCAGCCATAAAGATGTCTGCCTTTTTTCTAATATAATGAAAATAGATGGCACTCAGCTTGTGGTGCTCAAAGTACCAAAATTACATTTGAAAAACTCAACAGCAATGTTTCTTTCCAGAAATCATGACTCGGTTACTCAAGTCAATCCACAGACCTTGTTGTGAGCAGTTTCATGTAGGAACTATTTTCTTTCTGCCAAACTACACTCTGTATCAGCGTGCATCTACATTAAAGGCATCCTCTTGGGCGATATGTGAGCTGTAACCAAGCAGCAACATCTGGGGCTGAAAAATGAAGCCAACATGGAAGTGCCAAAAACTGCAGTTCTTTAAATGACAACTTAAGGCTCGCTCCAGAAGTCACTACTACCCATAGCCCCCCATGTTAAAGTGCTCAACTTAACAACAGAAATATACATGTTGACAACCTGGGGAAAAAATGGTTTTGGTCTCTATAGTTAATTTACCCCTTCATGACAACTAAATGAGGGGTTAATTTGTATATAACTCACCAGTTTACATTTTATTAAAGCTTATAGTTGTGCTTAATAAAGGACAGGCCGCTTTGAATGACAGGCGGTCAAATCCATCCCTCACTCCTTCACAGCGCCACCCTCTTGCCCAAATATGGTCACCCCTGGCACCAAAAACCCAAGATGGTGATGGCCAAAATGACAAACTCGAGGCTTCAAAACAGGACTTCACAAAAAAAAAATAGGTGATGTCACGGTAGCTGCGTTCATTATTTTTGAAGCCTATGGCTGTAACGTTAGCGAGCTCAATGATGTTAGGTTAGCAGTAGATGCACGCTTCCTTATGTGCTGTAATACGGTTGGCAGGGTGTAGTTTAGTAGAAAGAAAATAATTCCTACATGAAACTGCTCACTACAATGTGTGTGGATCATCTTGAGTAACTGGCTCATGATTCCTGGAAAGAGACATTGCTGTTGAGTTTTTCAATTTTTTGGGGTTCTTTGAGCACCAAAAGTCAAGTGCCATCTAGTTTTATTGTATTAGAGAGAAGGCAGACATCTCTCGGGCTAATATCTCCAACACTCGGTTACTCACACCAAAACAATCCAGATTGAAATACAGGGCTACAGGTAAGAGGAAAATTATGTTTTTGATTTGGGTCTGAACTGTCCCTTTATTAAAGTCTATACAGATCATCAAGTATTGAGTGTGTGTTTATGAGGTGGTTCAGCGAGCCTTGCAGACTATCATTGCCCCTGAGTTTCAAGGGGATATGCTAATGATAGGCCAGTAATAGTTATTAAGTCAGCTACAGAGTCAAATTGGGCTTTCTTACCCTTTTTTTTTTTTAAATGAAATAAACTCCAAAATTTACAAAATATCAAAGTTTAACTCTCACATATTGACTTTAATAAACAACTCAAAAATATTTTTGTGGTCCCTTAGGGTTTGTTGCCCCGAGGGGAGCAACCCAACCCACTGAGGGAGAAGAACGCGGCGGTTAACGGGTTCCTGCGCTCCTGGCTGCCTCGACTGGGCCAGGCTCAGTTGCTGGATGTTAGCGGGGAGTTTGTTCACTCTGATGGAGCCATCAGCCCACAGGACATGTTTGACTTCCTCCACCTGACATCAGCAGGTTACCGCACCTTGTCGAAGCCCCTCAGCGACCTGCTGCTTCAGATACTGGAGGAGACGCCAGAGGAGAGACGGGCATCACTGGTTTGAGGGCCTTTGCCATGCAGCACATTTATCCAGAGGCATGTCTCACCCGCTGCTGCTGGAGACGGGGGAGACATGTCCCTGGTATCTGGAGGAGGAAGGGCTTACTCACTGGGGGGAGAGGCACCCTGATGTGAGTGGGCCTAGGAGGGGTATGGGATCACATTCATGAGCGGAGGGTTGGGTTTCGGAGAGGTGCTGAAGAGGGAGAGAGACCTCACCACAGACATAGACACTGTGATTGCAGTAGTAACCTCTATTGCAAAAGGATTTACAAAGGTCGGACTACTCTGAATCATAGATAGATAAACTGAGATCACATGGGACTGCAGTGGCACACACCAACAGATTAATCTTGGCCTGTGGATTAAATGAGTGTTTCCCTCTGTCACCTGTGCCACAGAGATATGATACAAATCGATCCAATTTCTTCATCCATGGTTTGTTTGATGTCAGCAAAACAGTTAGCTGTGCAGCCTCTCTGTTAACACAAGAGAAGTTTAGAGCACAGTATTCTCACAGTAGGCAGTATCCAACATTGCACAGTGTTAACGTCTGATCAGTAAGCTGTAGAGCAGTGGTTCCCAACCCAAGGTATCATAAGAACAATATTAGGGATCACAAGATTATTTAAAGGAAAGGATGGAAAAAATATTTCAGTTACAGAAAAAAAATTTATCTGGTGAAATACAGAACAGTTTTACCTCTACGGGCTGCTAAAAGTCACTCCTCTGTGTGTTATTAATGCCTTTGAAAGTCCACTAGTCATAAAGGTTGGGAGCCACTGCTACAGAGGACCTACTGCTGAGATGCACACTGTAGATTGCAGTGAGCAGTATTTAAAAATAACTCTCTCTATTAGATGATTTTGCTTGAAGCATAAAGCAATGAAGTAAATGTCATATAAAATAATTGACACAAATTCACACTGATAGTTTTGTCTGTCCAGTTTATATGTGTACTATTTCATATACTCAGCAAAACAAGGAGCACTTATTCTGCTAAATGTTCACTTTTGAACTCGATGTGTAACTAATTAGATGTCTTTTTAAACTATTGATCAATATAAAACAGATCGTGTATATCTGGAGGGTTAATGACTCCTCCACAGACCACACATTCAGCTGATCACTACTTCATTCTTGTGTGACCTAAAACCACTGAACTAAATGTTCAGCTCAAACCTGATGCTGCATGCATGCTTTAAGATGAGCCACGGCTTCACTGTAGAAAATCAGCCAACGCTTCTCTATGAAATAATCAGTCAAAATCATGTATTCATACATATGTATTAGTGATGTTAGGCTGTCTGATAATCTACACAAGTCCTCCAAACACCCCCGACCCTGCTGGTTATGTGCAAAACTCCTATCACACCCAGCAAGCATTTCATTTTAATGACAAGTAGGTCACAAATGTTTTGCTAAACTAAGACCTGCCAGTCTTTTAAATCGTGCTCCTAATGACTTCTTGATTGGCTTGGGTATCTGTGGAAGGACATTTTTGATTGGAAAAAATATTTCAGTGCAGAGTCCTGCACAAGTCTGATTTTCAAGACCTACTCCCTGTCCAGAACTGCAATGTGCAATAATTCGCAGCGCTACTTGAAACCACAAATCCTGTAATAACCATGTGTTTTTCAAATAATTTGGTTAGGCAGCACATTTAAAGTCATCAGTTTGGGACATTTCATACATTTGGAACTAAGATAATATATTTTAAAATGAAGTTCAGGAAATACAATTTAAATTAATATTTTTTTGCTTCTCATAATATTGAGCAGCACATCTCTACAGTTAACATGCCTGTTAGTAACACAGCTGATCAGATCAGCTCTCGTATTCCAGCTGGCGCAAAAGACGGACCCAAAACACAAAGTCAGCAGACAGAGGAATAAAACGTTAAGACATTAAAATAAATTATTACTGTAATCATTGAGATCTGACTGACATGTTCTTTTTCCACCCAGAACTGAACCTGGAAATAGAATCAAGACAAAATGCCACCTGCTGACACGATGCAGGACTCTGTTCTAGTGTCATGATGATGTGTGCGCGCTGTTTTTCAGTAGCTTTGCAGTGCAATAGTGCACTTGATTTTATTCTTCACAAATAGTTGAGACAATGCGGTCTCTACTCTTGCTTTCACATGACATTGGTAATCACACTATGAGTTATTCCTTATAAAACCAGATTGATATGGGACATTTTTCTCTGTGTATCTATCTCACGGTTAAATATCCAAATCTTCACAGTCTGACACTTTGACTAGCACAGGCTCTCTCTCCCTCTCGCCTCCTAAATACATAGATATACAGTTTATTCCCTTAGAAGTACCTCTTTATTCTGTTTCTCCCCTCCTCTTTTATTTCTGTCCCTGTTGTATTTGTAGTCGACTCTGACCCAACCCTGCCACCCTGCACCCTGACATCTCCACATGGTATACTTACTGGATATTTTTAGGAATAAAAAGTAGCCACATGGTTAAGCTACCGATCACAGCTATACTGGATATTGTTACGCTAATTGCTAAAAAGCAATCACAGGTTATGTAAAGAAACCCATTCGTCTGTGAGCTTCTACTGTTTCCTCATGGCTCGGCGCTGCTCAAATCGTGGCTGAGAATCTCTTGTTGAGCATCATCTTATCCAACATTACTGCTGTCTTAAGCTCTGCACATTTGTGTGCTGTGTTAAATATAAATAGTGTATGTGTGTGTGCCTTAAGTGTTCATGGGGATGGTTGTGTACAGTGTGTCTGGTACTGGATTGTGTAAGTTGGGCGTGCGAGTGTCTAGAAGTGACCCCAGTTGTATATAAGACGTGAAGCTTGAGGAAATGATGTTTGAAGGGGGTTTAGGTTGTGGGAGTCTGTGTTTGATGCGATTCAGCATTTGCACTGTTTTGGCTCGTTGTCACATTATTGAGGTAAAGCATTCCAATAAAGAAAAAACAAACAAACATAAAAGCAAGGATCTAAATGTGTGTTGGGAGTAATCTTTTCTCTTTTTGGTAATTATTAAAAGCTGTGACCTGTCATGAGTGATAGTATTTAAATTTTAAAGAGAAGAAAGTATATACAAATCTCAGTTTCTGAAATCAAGGCTGTGGCCCAATCCCTTTAACCACACTCACGGACTCACAGACTTTGAGGTGCATTCCCGCTAAGTGCATGAAGACTTAGGGCTGTCCCACTGCACACATTTCTGAACTTTACCTGAGGGAATTACCCACAGATGTGTGGACTTGAGTCACATGCAGACACAAATTTGATGGCTTGAGACTCGACTAAATCAAAAAGACTTGTAACTTGACTTGGACTTAACACCAGTGACTTGTGACTTCACTCTCACTCGAGTCTTTTGACTTGAAAATATTTGATACCTTCCCCAAGCTGAGGCTGCGGCTAATGTTAACATAGTGAGCTAATGCTAAGCTAAGTAACTTTTAAAAAATGAATACAATTTTTAAAAAGTAATCATGATTTATGTAAATTTAATATATTATTACTCTGTTATCGAATTGGCATTACATTTGGTGAAGAGCACATTATGACTTGTTTAGGACTCAAAACACAAAGTTTAGGACTTGGGACAGAACTTGTTGAACTTGGGAATTAAGTGCACTATAAATTTACTTGTGACTTGCGAAACTTGACTCGGTGCCACCTCAGATTACCCACAATTCATAAAGCTGTGACATTAAAACGCAGGATTACCAGGGGAAACCAGGAAGCATTTAAAAAACAAACAAACAAAAACATGGTAAACAGGCAGACTGGGACATGGGTGTTTGGCCTGGCACGTTAAATTTACACAGAACCACTACATTAACATTGGGATTTAAGATGGTCCATAAAAAACACATGAAATCAGATGAATGCAAGCATGGCTATATTATATATCTGGTTTATTCATCAACCATTTCTTTTGATTTTACTTAGTAATGCTGTTATGGCAAAAACAAGTAATTGATTATCTGACAATAACCTCTCGTCCACTGTGTAAGGTAAATGCCTGGAAGACGTTCTAATCAGGGATTGACCCCTGAAGTGCTTTCAACATGAAAAATTAAAAAAAAAAAAACACATAAAAAGTCCCAAACCCATAATTGTACCATACATGACATGTATGGCATCATCAAGGCAAAAGGGGAACATGAAATTACGGGTTTAGCAGTCCTCTGCTAGAACATTTTGAGTGTCAAACATTTAATTTCCTGCATGCTGGTGATTTTTTATGCACTAATTTGTACTTTTCTGCCTCAGTGTAAAGTGTAAATGTCTTTAATTTTATCAAAGTTAAACTTCTCTGCTACCTTCATGTTTTTATTGGGGTGTGGAACTATTGCACATTCTAAATATTGAGGGGGATGTATCCTCTGTGTCGCCCTTTGAAATCTACACCTATGCATTAAGGTACTGTGATATGCTGCTGCACAGTGCTGTCCCATTCCTTTTTATTTTTGAACCCTTGCAGCCTCTTGCACTCAAACTTTTACCAGCTGATATCACTTAAATCCCTGAGGGTTCAGGGTTTACGGCCTCTGGGTGAGACATTGGGATTTGGCCCTAAAATTGTGATATGCAGCACTACACATGCTCACCAGCAGAGGGAACCATTTTATCAAACAACTAAATTGAGAGCGACACTAACAAGGCTCACTGCTTGTTCCATGTCTCCTTTCTTTCAGCCGCAGAGTTCCTTAGTGCCTAATTAATTTGCTTTCACTAAGTTTATCAGTCTAATGCAATAACAGCACTTGGAGGCAGTGTCGACTCATGTTAAAACATCCTCATTAAACATTAGGCGTGCTGGAGTGTGTATATGATTGTTGGCAAGTTGTAAAATACCCACTTAACAAATCATTTGCCCACTCTCAATGTTGCTCTCATTAATTTTAACTATGACCTAAAACTGTCCCGGCGTAACTAAAATAGTTGGTCCATCTGGACGTTGTGCTGCAGACTGTCGACTGAGTGTGAAATTTGAAAGCGCTGTTAACACATTGAACACAATCCAAAACAACGTGAAGTAATTGTCTGGTATGCTGCAGTTCATGTGTCAGACACAGGAATGACTGTGAATTAAAGCTGGTATTTTTACTAGTTTTTCCATCTTAAGAGCTGTGATGTTGTAAAAATGAAGGAGAGTAATTTCACGTAAATCTGCGTCACCTGAAATGGTAAAAGGAAAATGTTTAAAGGCACTTTCCTTTGAGACAATTAAACTTTTTATCTAAACTATGTGTATGTTTAGACTGCCAGTGATCCAAATCTAAATATGAACTTAATGTTTTTAAAGGCCTGGAAACTGACTATAGATAAATATTTGAGCGTTTAATCTATCGACACACAGTTTGAAAGTGGGAAATGATAACTTTCTAATCCCAGAGGGCATTAACAGAGACAGAGGCATCACTCGCCAGTTAGCTACACCCTGATAAAATCTATATCTGGCCTTGTGTGTTATTCCTGCTCTATTGACCTGCGTAAAACTTGGCTCTAGCTCAGTATTGACAAGCTGGGCAGTGTTGGGCATCTGTAACACAACGTCTCAAGGGCCTGCGTGAGCCGAGAAGGCAAGAGGAAAATATTTAATCTCAATAAGATACACGTTCTCACCTATCAGAGGTTACTTTATGTCTGAACCTGTGGGGTCAGGGTTTGTAATGTGCTGCCAAATGTGATGAATGGTGCAGTGGCTACAACAGGCATCTGAGACCTTTGGGCCTATATGTCATCAGCTGCAGACAGTAAAGGTGTTGTAGTGTTTCTAATAACACAGCACAGAGATTCAGTACGGATCCTTTATGAAAATGGCCTCTCATTTACCATTTCAGCAATGACCATAGACTGTAGACAATTTCCCCAGTGTACTTTTAATTTAGTTCTTTGATTTGCTGTCCACTTTGATGATAAATTGAAAAAAAAAAATCAAATTGACTTCCTTGAGTCTACATTAGTCCAGTTTCACTCATGGGGTTCAGTTTCTTTGATCACCAAGCAATGTGATGCATTTTCCTGTATGATTCCTCTCAGATGTCATGATTTCATAAATCATGAGCGATGTAAGTGCATATTTGGGCCTGTGCCATGTGCTGTGACCCTTGTGATGTTGCATTTCTTTGTCAGAAGTTACAACAAGTCACATGTTGCAACTTCACAATCTGATTATATAATATCAGAGGAAATGGAATACAGAAGCTGCTCTCATGATAAAAGCAGAAGTTTGTTTTGTTTTGTTTTGATGCTTAGCAGCAAAATAGTTATCTTACACTGGAAATCCACATCTGCTGTCACCGAGAGACAGTGGGATTTTTATTAGGTGTTATATGCCTCTGCACTTGGGAGGTTGTGGCATGAATGGATTATTATTAATTCATTGTTATGGATCCTTTTTGTAGTTTTGTGTCTCTTTGTGGTTGTTTTTCCTTTTTTATAGTTATTTTGTGTCTCTTTCTAGTTCCTTTGCATGTCCTTGCAGTCATTATGTGCCTCCTTGTGGTAATTTTGTTTCTCTTCCTGGTCAGTAGTAATGCACAGGTCAACCCACAGCCTGTGGGTCAGGCGGTTTGGGTAAGCTTGTTGTATAAGAAAATATTGCGAGTTTCACACGGGCAGGTCATGAAGTGACAAAGCAGCATTCTGATTAAGTTATAACTTTAAGAAACATTGTGCAATAATCCAACTTCCACCGTCTCTTCCCCTCTCTCCATCTCTCTCTCTGTGTTTTCCACACCACAGCAGCTTTATCATCAGAGCTGCTGCATTCAAGCTGTCTGTTATTCGGTTGTTGACCAAGAAAATCTGTTGAAGTCCAGACATATTTAAATCTCTACGGTCATAATGTTGGGTTAAAATACTTCCCTCTGCGAATATATAGGCATAACACCGTGTCAAAAGCAAGCAAGCCTCTCCCTGTCCCCACTGAATCCATTAAACATGCATTTCTGTAACATCATGTAAACACATGTAATTTTCTAAAGATGAATATCACAATAAAAATATATGAGACACAGGCACTCGCAGGAACATGTTGAATTGAGCCATTAGTTTTGTGAATAATGGCACCCTTATATTCACAATTTCTATTGTGTGTCTGCAATGCATGTTTTACTTGTGTCTGACAGAGGCAATTCCATAAGTAAGCAGCAAGAACATTATCCACCACTTCATTTTACATGACTGCGACTCCAGGATTCAGACAAAGGGCCACATCACTTTCACAGAGGAACTCCTCCTCCTCTGCACAAAGCACTTTACAGCTTCACTGCAGCAGATAACGGCTGTCATGACTGGTTGATCAGGTGATAAATAGCAGCACAGTGTGTTGAAATGAATATGCGACAGAAAACCCTGAAAGATGGTTTAAAACCCGGGCAGCACTTCCTCAAGGTGAGCTTGAAGTGCATTTAACAGCACGTTCTGAGCTTTCAGCTTGCTGTTTGCATGAAAGGTTCACCTTTCAGATCTCAATACCAACAGTTTCAGGGGAAACATCTGCTTCCTGGCTCAGATTACCCACCATTTACACCTGATACTCCTGTGACCTACCTTTTTCACTCTTTTATCATTCAATGCAGCCACAGAAAGAGCTCACAACACATGCAGTCACACCACTGCACCTTCCTCTGTGGTTCAACCATATTCATGCATATGAGTCACTCACACACACATATTCAGTCTTCACATTAACCTCAGCCTGCAGGCAGTGTTTATCGTATCTGATGTGACATCCATGTCTAACCATTCTCCAAACCTGCAGTCTCCAGCTGATTGCCTCTCTGTTTCATAAACACAGTTACTTGTCACTATTTTGGAAACCACACTTGAAAACCAACTGGAAATTTCACCTCTGGGAAAACATACTGGAAGCGATTGAGTAGTAATTACAGTACAAAAAATGACAACCAGTCCGTTTCATCATTTGCCACTGCAGCTGCCTAGAAACCTGTTTTACCTGCACTGAGGCTTGTATAA